AAAAAACCCTGAGCATCCTCTGAAGTTAAACCGCTGAAAGTGGGAGGGTGGTACTTCTTGTACCTCTCGAGCCTGAGCTGCTCTCCCTTTGAAACTGCTGTCCTAATCTCAGGACGAACTGGGACAACTGGCTGCACTGGTATAACCTCTGGGGCATGGTCAACTTGGGCCCAAGTTTCTGGAGTACGGGCAACGGGAGTTTGTGCCCCTGCCCCGGCCTGAGATATGGCAGGAGCAAGTGGAATTAACCTTACTTGAGCTAAAGTGCCAAACATGCCCAAAAACTAGGCAAGAGTCTCCTGAAGTGCAGGAGTAGTAACAGGCGTCTCAGGTGCCTGCTCTCCGACTAGAGCTACTGGTGGCTTTGCTGCAACAGCTCATGCAGGTGCTCTGGCTACACTACGTGGTCTTCCTCGACCTCTGCCCCGACCCCGACCTTTTGCGACTCCAACAGGGGGCGCGGGTGTCTGATCATCGGACCCAGTTGTGCGTGTCCTCACCATCTGTGAGAGAATAGAAAGATAATGGTTTAGAACTTTGAAGTCAACAATTGCGCATGATAAGGAATCAATGAAGTGAATATTTTCCTAACAGTTCCATAACCTCCTGAAGATAAATACAGACGTCTCCGTACCGATTCGCAAGACTCTACTAAACCTGCTTGTGACTCATAACACCTATGAACCTAGAGCTCTGATACCAACTTGTCACGACCCCAAATTCCCTCCGTAGGAGGTCGTGATGGCACCTAGTCTCTAAGACTAGGTAAGCCTATCAATGCGGAATAATAATAGATATCTAAAATAAATAAACTACAATTTAAATAATTACAACTCCCAAAATCCGGTAGAAATAAGTCACAAGCTTCTAAGAATTTATCCTCAATGTCTCTATATATCAAGGTTTAAAGAAAATAAAGAAGCAACATGATAATGATAGAAGGGAACTCCTGAGTCTGCGGACGCTGACAGATATACCTCGAAGTCTCCGTACACAGGTAACTCACTGATGTCTGGGCTGGTAAGATGTACCTAGATCTGCACAAAAAGATGTGCAGAAGCGTAGTATGAGTACACCACAACGGTACCAAATAAGTGCCAAGCCTAACCTCGGTAGAGTAGTGACGAGGTCAGGTGATGCCCTACTGGAAAATAAATAATGGCATGGTAAAATGTTTAACAATATAATAAGATAAAATGACAATAGAAATGAATCAACTAGTATGTTACCATTTAATTACACCAAAGAATAGCAATTAATACCTCGTGAAAACAAAACATAATTCTTTTCAACTTGCAAGAAAATCACAACAATAATCAAAGGCAATTGCGACCATAAATCAATATCAAACATGGGCACTCCCGAGGTACCACCTCGTAGTTCCAAATCATAAATAAATTCACAATATCTCATTTTTCTTATATCACCGCGGGAGCCTTCACGATTTATTTTAAAGAAAATATTTTTTCCGAAATAGCATCCCGCGTTTTAGCCATCCTTATCACACCGCATGACTTCTAGTAGTTTCCCCTACTAGCCACGCGTATCAAGCCACCCTTATCTCACCGCATGAGTTTCAACACCCAAACCTTATACCACCGCATGCGTATCAATATCACAATATAACATAATTTGTATCTCAAGTGCCCAAATATTTTAATTTGCCAAAATAAATCAATAACAATATTTTTTCATAATAAAGAGCTCACGGCTCATGCCAAAACAATTCATGATAATATTTTTCTACAATAAAGAGCTCATAGATCAATCACAATTAGTACGAAAATCTCACAAAATATTCAGCAAATATAATAATTCACAAATTTACTACCTTGTTTTAAATATCAAATTTTTAAATGTAAAATACTTTATTTTTAATAATATTTGAAATTAAAGAAATTTCACCTTCAAATAATACACCGAATAAAAGAAACCAAGTTTCAGCTAACAGGTAAAAACAATTAGGAGGAGAAGGTCAAACAAATTTAAAGTATATAAATCAAATCAATGATGGAGAATATAATAAGATTTAATAATTTAATGAATATGCAACAATGATCTACACAATTTATAAACATGATCTTTCACATTTAGCCCGTGTACACACTCGTCACCTCGTGTATACGACTTTCATCACATTACAATTATCACATCAATACCAATCCTAGGGAAACTTTCCCCCACACAAGGTTAGACAAGTCACTTACCTCGACTTGCTCCAATTTAACCAAGTAGTATGCCTTTTCCTAGATTTTCCGACTCCGATCGACTCGTATCTAGTCATAATTAATTCGATACAATCAACAAAAATTATAGGAATTAATTTCATAAGAAAATATTATATTTTTTAATAAAATCCGAAATTAGCTCAAAATTCGCCCGTGGGGCCCACGTCTCGGAATCCGGCAAAACTTATAAAATCCGGCAACCCTTTCAATTACGAATCTAACCATATCAGTTTCACTCAAATCCGACTCCGAATCGACACCGAAATCTCAAAAATTCATTTTTATGAGATTTCTAATTTTTTTTTAAATTTCCATCTCAATACACTAATTAAATGGTGAAAACAATGATATATTCGTGTATATTGACCAAATCCTAGTTAGAATCACTTACCCAAATATTTTTCCTTGAAAATCTGACAAACATTGCTTCTGCTCAAGCTCAAGTTCGTCAAAAATGACAAATGAGACGAAATCCCCAGTTTTATAAACTGCCGAGGCAGCCATCGATCTTGGGTATCGATCATGGCTTCGATCTTTATGGCCCTCGATCCTGGGCCTTCGACCATTGGTCTTCGATCACGGACCTCGAGCCTGCCTTCGATCATGGCCCTCGAGCTTTGCCTTCGATCATGGCCCTCAAGCCTACCTTCGATCATGGCCCTCGAGCCTGCCTTCGATCATGGCTCAATTTTCTGGGCTTGATTTTTGGGCTTCGATTTCTGCATTTCCAGCAGAAGAAAATTGCAGCAGCTTTTTAAGTCCAACTTTTGACCCGTTAACCATCCGAAACTCACCCGAGGCCCCCGGGTCCTTAACCAAATATACCAACAAGTCCTAAAACATCATACAGACTTAGTCGAGTCTTCAAATCACATCCAACAACACTAAAAACAAGAATCACACATAGATTCAAGCCTAATGAACCTTGAAATTTTCAATTTCTACAAACGATGTCGAAACCTATCAAATCTAGTCCGATTGACCTCAAATTTTGAACACACGTCATACATGACATAACAGAGTTGTGAAAATATTAAGAACTGGCTTCCGACCCCTATATCAAAAAGTCAACTCCCCGGTCAAAATTCCAAACTTAAATTACTATTTTAGCCATTTCAAGCCTAATTTAATTACGGACTTCCAAATAAAATTCTGAACACGCTCCTAAGTTCAAAATCACCATACGCAGCTGTTGGAATCATCCAAATTCTATTTCGGGGTCGTTTGCACATAATTCGACATCCGGTCACTATTTGAACTTAAGCTTTAAAACTTTGGAACTAAGGATTCCAATTCATTCTAAAATCTCATCGGACCCGAACCAATTACCCCGGGAAGTCACATAACAGTTATAAAGCACATAATGAGCAGTAAATAGGGAAATGTGGCTACAACGTTTAAAACGACTGGCCAAATCGTTACGGTTATGACTGCTGAGTTGGCTTCAACTATTTAAATGAGTTACCTGATTTATTTATATTATTGTGGTTATTACTATTATTGCGTACAGTTTAATGTAAGTGACCTGTCTTAGCCTCGTCACTACTTCGTCGAGGTTAGGCTCGGCACTTACCAGTACATGTGGTCGGTTGCACTGATATTACACTCTGCACTTCTTGTGTAAATTTCGGAGTTGGTCCCAGCGGCGTACCATAGACTTGCTCGGATTTCGGCTACTCAGAGGAGACTTGAGGTATAACTGCACAGTGTCCGCAGTTCTGAAGTCCCCGTCTACCTTATTTTAGCTGTGTGTTTGCTTTCAGACAGTTTTATTTCATTCAAACCTTTATTTGTATTATTCTAGAAGCTCGTGCACTTGTGATACCAGTTCTGGGATGGTATTTAGACATCGCTATTATTATGGATTATTCACTACATTACAGACTTTACTTCCGCATTTGTTTTTTTGTTATTAATTAATTTAAAATTATTTTAAAATGGCTAATACTATTCTAACGTTGGCTTGCCTAGCAAATGAAATATTAGGCGCCATCACGGTCCCGAAGGTGGGAATTTCGGGTCGTGACATGTTATGACATTATATTTATAAATATTAATTTATTTTATCAAACATGAATTCCATGATATTTTTACAAAATGTATGTTTTTAGTTTTTATAGTTAATTAAACTAAATATTATTAATTTGGAAAATATATATCAATACTATATTAGTTATAAAAATATAATTCCTAATTATTGTGTATTCAAGAAAAAATATGCATCTTAAGTACCAAATCTAATATCATTCATACTTATAAAAAATTATTTATAGGCATATTTATTATGTTAACTTTTAATTTTCGATAATTACTTCATTTAAAATTTAATCTAATTATGTAATTACAATTGTGCAATAAAACAGTACATTTGTAATTACACTGTAATTACATTATGACAAACAAACATGTCATCGTAATTACTAGACTGTGTAATTACTAGGCTGTGTAATTAATACCCTAGTAATTATACCAATTCTAATTACCGGATGACTTTCCAAACAGAACCTTAGTATTTCACCAGTATTTCAATTACTGAAGTTAAGCATTTGCAATTTGCAAATACTGATGATTAAACCAGTATTTCCAAATATTGGAATCAAATACTTAATCCAGCGATCCGAAGCAAGAAAAATTAAAAAATAAACCAAGCTTATTCATCATATTCTGAGCAGAAAAAATAAAATAATATTTCAGAGCACTCCTTATAAGTCCCAACTTTTTGTCTTAGTCTTATCTCTGATAGAATCAGTAAACGAAAAGTAAGGAACCAAATTCGAATCACAGAGAGTTAGATGCATGTGTAGGCAACCAAAAGCACAAAAACAAATTAAAGCATATAATGGGACAGGCCCTTTGATAGCAAATATTACCTGTTATTTCTTGTCACCCACAACTCCCAAAGAAAAAGAAAAAAAGCATGTGGCATGGAATGTATTATGCTCCATACTTTTGGCCCCAGTACTTATCCTTTCTCTCCACACTTTTTCCTTCTCAATTCTCAATCATGTTAATCTAAGGAAAAAAGTAACAAATCAAACCTTTCTTATTTTGGAAACTAATAAAGCAATCATGTCCATTAATTAATCACTTCTTCTTGTTCTTTTCCTTGCCACTTGAAAAGAAAGAACTTAAACCAAACAAACTTGCTGAAGGGACATTTAGTACTGGGCTGAATTTAACTCCATTGTTGTATGGAACTTTCTTCAATGGAGGCTTTTGACCATTATTAGATGACACTGATTTTGAAAAGTGTCTCTGAGAATGCTGCTTGTGACTTAAATTATCCTTTGATGATGACGAATTACGCTTCACACTTGGAGTTGAACCAGTTGAATTGCTTCTTGATAAAAGTGGCAATGGACATAAAGTTCTTGCATAACCATTCCCACAATTTAAGCTACTACTTCTCTTGAATCTCCAAAATGACTTTGAACTCTGCTTTTCATCTATTGATTCAAGAACCCCTCCTGTTTTATTTTCGATTGAATTTTCATTCTTCAAATTCGAGCTAATTTTGCCATTATCAAGAATATTGCTAGTGTTAGTGTTACTACTATTCTTGCATGGAGGCAGAGGAGGGGCTGGTATTGGACGTTGCTCTATTTTTTTAAGTGGAGCAGACGAAATTCTTCTCTTAATTTCAATTGGTAAAATCTTTCCATCAAAGAAAAGCTCATCAGCTGACGAAGATTCAAGATCAAAGCTTTCGCGAAAAACGCAAAAATCAAAATCAATACTAGAGGAAGATGAAGTTGATCTAATGTGTTGCTCAACAGGAACATAGTCTGTTTGTGAAATATCGAAGGAGATCCGAGCTGGACTCATTATAGATGACTCATCAGATGAACACAGCTCAATTGCCATTGTAATTGCCAACAGAAAAACTTTGAAGATGAAAATATTGAATGCAATTAAGTTAACAAAATGAATTGAACAGGACACTAGGTCATAATTGACTGCACTGACAATTTTTTTTAAAGATTCCAAACCTAATAAATAAAGACCAGAATAAAACCCCAACTGTCAATAGTACTAAAATTTCAAGACAAAATGGTTGGAAGGTAGAATATTAAGAGGAGGACGTTAAATAGTAGGAGAGGAGTAGTATTGAAGGAAAAAAGGACCGAAAGGGAAGAGAAAAGATGATGAATAATGAGAGAAACGTGGGGAGGAGGCTAATTAATGGAGGCTTGGACATGAAGATAATATAATACAACATATAACAGGCTTTTACTTGTGAAGCAAAGAAAGGAAAAAAAGTGATAACTACTTGGAATTGGTCTAGGACGTTTTAGAAGCGACGTGGGCGGGGGTGGAATTGTGGAACGGGTATATGAGAACTTTTGGGAGAAGTAATTTAGTAAAACATTAACCCGCACACACCATATTTACATCGAATGTATTAACTTATCATGATTGAACAATAAACTAATGTGAAATATGTATAAATTAGTTGTGGTTTAGTGTAAGAATATGACATGAGTCATATACGGGCCGACCATAGGTTAAGGCCAATAAAGCCATGCCTTTAGGCCCCGTATTTACCAAGTATTGTTACATAATAAAGTATATTTATATAATTATATACAATAATTAGTGCATTTGTTACCTTTTTGGTTTTATTTTTCCTCTTCCACGTACATCTACTCATTTTCCCTTTTTATAGTGAGTTCTTCACTTTTCAATTTCAACTCGATGTTTCTGAATCAATTAGTTTTCATTGTCGCACTTGATTTATTCCATAAACTAGAGAGCAAGTCCTTTGAGATTGTATATAGAATCAAGATATTTGTTTTTGCAATCCAAAAAGACATTGGAAGAGTTGTATTATTATAGCTGAATACGGGTAAAGTCGGGCTCATGGTATACCCCGGTCTCCGATAAAACAAGCCAAGTTCGAGACATGATGACAGGGGATCGAAATCGAGACAAAAGTCTCATCGAATCAGAATCCAGGGGCATGACGCCTACCCTCAAGAATATCGGGGTCACAGTTCGGAATCGATCTTAGCCTTGAACGACTTCGAAGAACATTGTCAGGCAATCGAGTACGGCCAACGGAAGACCTTAATATCCGTCACCAGCCAGATATCACGGTGGGGATCTCGACACGTATCCATGAAGAATCGATAATCAGTTAATCCGAGGATTTTTTTTACCTTTTATAGAGTTGTACCTAGAGTAAAATTCTCCTACTATATAAAGGGGGCCTGATAATTCATTAAAAAACTGTAACACGCATACCAAAGCAATATATCGTTATTTTCTCTATCACTAACTCTTTCTCTTTTTCATTTGTGTTGGTCGTGATGAGCCCAACTCGAGGGTGACTATTTCACTAAGCCTGAAATTATCCTATTTGTGTCATTTGAATTTATTTTATCTTTGTTTGCTCAGTAGTAACTTAATTTATCGCTTTTACCAAATTTATCTGCGTATCCTTAAAATCACTTACAAATTTAATTATTATCTGATTTTGAGGGTAACAGTTACGACCTCGAAGTCTAGTACCGGGGCCACCCCGTTCTCGTTGGTTTACGGCGCCGAAACTCTAATAGCGGTCGAACTAGGGGAACCAAGTCAAACGATGAGGACATGAATACAAGCGTGGAACTACTAGATGAAAGGCATGAAGCTGCCCTCGTTTGGCCGCCCAAAAATAACAGATCGAGAGGTATTACAATCGAAGAGCCAACCTTCGACACTTCAATGTCGGGGACTTAGTGTTAAGGAAGGTCACAATAAGCACCCAAAACCCGTACGAAGGGAAGCTGGGGCCGAAAGCACGCGTTGCACTCTTTTTTTCTTGAACCGGTTTTGTCCCAAATGGGTTTTCCGACAAGGTTTTTTAACGAGCCAACATCGGATTGTGCTAACTTATAATCGAAGACCGGCTATGAACCAGTGTCAAGGATCACATCAACAATATCCGAGACTTCTCTATGATTGGCCTCGAACATTAGGGGGAGCATCACCCTCGGATAATAATTTTAGCGAGGAAAGAAACTTTGTGCTTGAATAGTCTAGGCTCGATCGATAAGATTTACTGTAAGGGCCAAACGGTCAAATAAACCGTGTCCAACATAGACCGCCCGAGCCTTGACACAAAGCTTGTACACATATGTAACCTTGTATATTACGCACAGAAATGAAAGGAAGTTTTTACCTTGCGGATAAATATTTTGTACCTTAAATATTTTTTTCTTTCTTACATTTGGTCCCCTAAAGACGTCGAGCACAAGGGCCACCTCACTCGGGGACTTCCGCCCAAGGCAGGATCGGACGACCCAGGATAACGAAGCCCGGGGCACCAAGCTTATTAGGCAGTGCCCGAACTTTAAAGGCTACGACCATCCCCATTCGGTGACGGTTGTCTTGGGTAAGCCTGAACGACTCGGGGTAACAAGCCCACTGGGCAACACCCGAACTAGAAAGGCTACAACCGTCCTAAAATGGCTCGGAGACATTCGAGACCCGTAACCAAAACATAAGGCCTTCAAAATTTCTAAATCGGTTTAGAAGGCTACCCTCGACAAATTGTAATCTAAAATATTCTAAGTACTTTGGGGAAAGTTTCCGGTCATATCAATCCCCCCATAAGTCTTAAGCTAAATAATATCGAGAACAAGGCCTGTCCGAACCTCCGAACAAGACCTAATTATTACGTGCTAAGGCATTTGATATCTTTACGATCATAAAGAAAAGAGAGAAAGGAAACAAGCTTAAAACTGTCGTATGGAAAAAGAGCCTTATATATA